GACCCGGAAGCTGTACGCTGGCTCCCTCGGCCAATAAAGTGAAATGAGCGCCGCAACCCCAGAGTCGGCCACGACTGGACCTAATGGTCAAGGGTCCCTTTACCTTTAATAGCAAGGGGTATTGCCTTAGGGGTCCGTGTGTGTGTAGATACCACCTGCACAGATATGACCAGCAGGAAGCAGTGGAGAGGAAGTGGAGAAGGAGGCTGTGAGGGCATTCCCATTCCAAAGCTATGGGACAACTCAGGGAGGGATAGAGGGAATGAGCTGGGAGATTTGGGCTTAAGAGAAGTTTGCTGGCAGAGGAGGAAGTGTGTGAAAGGGTGGGGGAGGGGAGGGGTCCAATTTTTTATTTATTTATTTGTTTGTTTGTTTGTTTGTTTAATGTTTATTACTTTTATAGATTACAAAAATAGAGAAAAAAGAAAAAAAGAAAAAACAGAAGAAAAAACAAAGGAGAAAAACAAAAAGGAAAAACAATACAATACAATATATAAACAATACAAAACACAACCTAAACTCAAAACTAAACACATTAAACTAAGCTAAACAAACCCCACTCCCTAACCTTAACCCTGAATAGAACAAAACAAAAACAATTTAAAAACATACATCATCTCTTTTCCATACTCTATCTTTCATTCCCTTGTTTCCTCGACCTCCTCACACCTCCCTTTTTGTATTCCACTTCTATTAATTGTTTCAGCAAATCCTTTCCATCTTTCTCCATTTTCTGTGATATTGTAAATAACCTATTTTTTAACCTTATTTTCCATTAAAACTAAAATACTTATATGTGTTTAACTCCTTATAACATTTCTGTTAAGCCTATAAAAAATAAAAAATCATTCCACCATTTTTCTATCACTAATGTTTTACCATAAGTCTATATATAAACTTTAAATTTTTCAATCGTCTTCCACCATCTCCTGTCAAAAGCACTCTCTCCAAATGTCATCTGGCAGCCCGTTCCCAGGTTCAGAGCAGAGGTAATTTGATTTCTTCACTCTCTCCTGCAGGCTCACTAGATCCAAAATTTCCCCCTCTTCTCCTGCTTCCAAGGGGGGTTTTGTATTTTAAACCGGTGGAAATTTGATCCTTTTCCAAAAGCTTTCAAAGGCTTTAACTTGTAACGTCTTTGCTTCAATCTATTTACAAGAACGGGAGGCGGACTTCCTGTTTATAACCTTCCCGTTTCAGTGCCGAATTAAAGTATTTAAGAATCCAATTTTCCGTTTTACTCACGAGCAGTTATTTAAAGTCCAATTGTCCACAGGAAAAAGTCAGCGCTCTCCGGCAACAGCAATGCGGCTTCACTCTGTGAAAGAAGCAGTCGATTCAAAGCACCGCGCCACTCACCCCACGTCGCTCCGGATCCCCAAAACAGGGTTTCCCCGCGAGTAGGGGAGGCGCAAAGGTGCCAGCCGAATCCCACGTCCACAGGCTTCTCCCGCCTGTGGTTTTTAATGGGTCTCCGCCTCGCCGTGGCAGTTCAGACCCTGTTTTCCACGGAGCGGATTCCTCCCGATCGGAGGAAATCCGCCATTGCCAGAGGCGCCAACCCGGAAGTCCCAATTTATTATTTATTTATTGCATTTCCATCACGCCTTCCTCTCCAAGGACCTGAAGGTGGCACCCATGGTTCTCTCGCCTCCTCATTTAATCCCGACAACAACCCTGTGAGGTAGATTAGGCTGAGAGGCAGTAACTGGCTCCCTAGGGATTTGAACCCTGCGCTCGTGGGGCCCAGTCACAACACTATGCCACAATAAGGTGGCTGAGGTTTTTTGTTTTTTTAAAAAATATTTTTATTAAGCAATTTCAACAGAACTAATTATCAATCCAAATAGTCAATTACATTATTTCCCCCCCTTTTTATTCCTTCCCATCCCTCCCTCTCCCCCCCCAACCTGGGACTTCCCTCAGCTCCCCTCTCTGATTTATTTGCACATATTATTCTCTGCATACTAAAAATGGTACATATCATTGCCTTACCTATCATTTATTCTATTAATGAGGTGGCTGAGGTTTGAGGCGTGGCAGAGAACTAAATTTACAGGTGCAACAGGTATAGAGCTGCTGCCCCATCAGCTGTTTGCACATACCCTCCAATGAAAATAGGGGTGTCTCATTCCATAATAAAAAAATTTACAATTTATACCCCACCCATCTGACTAGGTTGTCCCAGCTACTCTGGACGGCTTCCAACATACATAAAAACATTTTTTTTTAAATTAAACATTTTGAAACTTTCCTATACAGGGCTGCCTTCAGATGGCTCAGGCGTCAGATAACTCCATACCCTCCAAATTTCTCTGATGAAAATAGGGACGTCCTAAGGAAAAGTAGGACATTCTGGGATCAAATCAGAAACCGGGACAGCTTCTGTAAATCTGGGGCTGTCCCTGGAAAATAGGGGCACTTGGAGGGTCTGCTTGCATGACATGAGCTGTTAAATTCATTGTCGGCTAACGTTGACAATGGTTCAGATGGCGATTTGTTTTGTTTTTTTAAAAATTATTCAAAATTAAAACAAAACATATTATCCAAAAACATATCATCCTTATTTTTTCCCCATTTTTCCTCCCTCCCTCCACCCTCCCACACAAAACCCACCCACCCCCACCCCCTGGCTTCCCTCAGTTCCAGTCTTTGGTTTCTCTGAGAATGCTGTTTTCTGCATGTTACAAAGTTGTATAGATCCTCAAACTATTTAGCTGATTATTATCAATAAAAAGTTTGTGAATGTTTATTCAAAGCCAGCCAAGGAGTCCACTTCGCTTTGTTGCATCTTCAAATACTTTGTAAAGGGTTCCCATTCATCTTTAAAGTCACAGTTATGCTTGTCATGTAGCTTATATGTCAGTTTTGCCAGTTCTGCATAGTCCATCAATTTTTCTTGCCATGATTTTTTAGTTGGGGTTTCTTCAGTCTTCCATCCTTGTGCTATTAGGACTCTCGCGGCCATTGTCGCATACATGAATATGTTTTTCAGCTTTTTTGGCAGATCTTTCCCTACAATACCTAACAAAAATGCTTCAGGTTTTTTAACAAATGTTAAATGGAACATTTTCTTCAATTCGTTGTATATCGTTTCCCAAATTTTTTAAATTACATTACAGTCTCACCACATATGACAAAATGTCCCCTCCTTTTCCTTCCAACATATATTTGAACTAGTTTTGTACATTTTCCCTAAGTGCACTGGTGTCGTGTACCATCTGTACATCATCTTCATGTAATTCTCCTTCAGTAGGGAACAATCTGTAAATTTTAAATCAGTTTTCCATAATTTTTCCCAATCTTCCATCATAATGTTGTGACCTAGGTCAGATGGCGATTTGTGTCAGATGGTCAGTTTGTGTCTGTGTGGGATCAATCCTCTCTGTGATTTCAGATTAAACAAGGATGGCAGAGATAAAGAAGAGATAAAGCGCTTAATCAGCACTCTCTCCCCCCCCCCACCCCCCCTCTCTGTGTTCTCAGTCATCTTCTGGAAAGATATATATTCTTAGTTCTCAGTATCAGATCTTTGAACCCTTATGAACTTTGCGATTCAACTCTTTAAGCCTGAGGCTTCTTCAAGGGAGCCTTTCTCGTCTCCTGTCCTGGCTCCTCTAATATATTGGAAGCTGAGCCAGCCACAGAGTGACTGTTGAAAAGGTGGTACAAGACCTGAACCTTGGTATCCAAGTCATAGAATTGTAGAATTGTGGAGCTGGAAGGGACCCAATGTGTTATCTACTCCAGTCCTTGCAAGGCAGGAATCACAGGTCAGATGGCCACCCAACCTCTGCGTGCGCAGAATAACTTCTCAATGAGTTTGTTTTGCTCCCTGGGAATAGGATGGTCCAGATGTCAAAATGCTAAACTTTCTCCCAGCCACCTAGGCAGCAAAGACATAAAACGGTGCCCAGCCGGACATACAACCACCACCTGGTGTGAAGCAAACAAAACTCTGCCCACCTACAGAGAGAAAACATGTACCAGTTATGTACCCTGTGGAACACCCTCCCTTCAGATGTGAAGGAAATAAGCAGCTATCCTATCTTTAAAAGACATTTGCAGGCAGCCCTGTTCAGGGAAGTTTTTAATATTTAATGCTGTACTGTTTTAACATTTAATTGGGAGCCGCCCAGAGTGACTGGGAAACTCAGCCAGACGGGCGGGGTATAAATAAATTATTATTATTATTATTATTATTATTATTATTATTATTGTAACAGGGTGAAAGGAAACCCCTGTGTCTTGTACAGGCTCAAGCTAGCTGATGAGTGGAGATGAGAAAACTGTTTGGAACACCCCTGTCGCTTGTGCCTGCTGGGCCACAGGCGGCCAAGCACACAGGTGTGAATCCTGATAGGATTGGGTCAGGAGCCGAATTCTGACGTTCATCCAGATGCAGGTCCAATAAAGAACCAGAGGCAATTTGCAGGCACTGGGAAGAGAGGGCTGAGTCAAGAAATCTGTCTCGGGCAGGGTTTGGAGTGCAAGAACAAAGGCACAGGCAGTTGTGGAGCAATCTGATGGTTTGCCCAAGAAGGAGCCTGGCATGACCGCACTGCCACTGCTACGAAGAACAATTTGGAAACCGGCCACGTCAGAAGAAGCTTGTGCAAAACAACAGTGGAGCAATAATGGGGCCCTGAGTCCCTCTTCTTGCAGGCTCATCCTGACTCGTCACAAGGAGGACCAAGCCCAGGGTGCTCCTTGATTGAATTCAGCAGCTGGCATTGTTGGTATGTGTGGGTGGCCCCTAGGTCCTTTGCACTGGGCTCCAGATCTGCTGCCTTGCTGTCTCCCATTCAACCTTTCTTTCTTTCTTTCTTAATGCTTACAGGGGATCTTTCCCTCTGACAATTAGCCTAAATTTCCATGCACACCAACAAATCAGCAAATGCAAATTTGGCCCATGTGCCCCAAGTCCTGCAAGGACTACTACCAGCCATGCGGGTTCAACTCTGCCTCCACAGTCAGAGGCAGCAATGATTCTCTTTGTTAAAAAATAATAATTTTTATTGAATGATTTTATGTTACAAAAAACATTACGACTATACTACCACAAAACAGAATTGAGAAATAAAAATTACATACATCAATATTTTGTTTGTTATTTGTTATCTACCGTCTTATTTCCTCCCAAACATTCCATACAAAACATACACCCACACAAACACACCCAAAAAATAGTGATAATAATGAAAATAAATATTTCTCCCCCTTTTATCTTACAAAATCTTTTCTTCAGTTTTGACTTCCTGTCGAGTCCCTACGCATATATTTTATCTTACAATTGAATGTACACAAAACAATAAGCCTTTCTGTATAGATTTTCCAATACATTCAGAAAACATAATAAATCCTTAATTGTTGTCCACCTCCTTTTACTTCCTTTGTCACTTGAACGCTAGCACGGAGTCAAAACTATTATTGTATTTTTGAATGTATCTTCTATAACCATCCCATTTTCCTGCAGACTTTTGCTTTGAGTTACCTCTGAGTTTGCTAGTCAATTGCTGGACTAGATAGGCCATTGGCCTAATCCAAAAGGCTCTTCTTAGGTCCTTAGGTTCTTAAGCACCTAGCGAGGCCCCTGACTTCAGCCCACCCTGATTGCTAACTCCAGAACCACTTCTCCAGACTGTGGTAGACCTTCCCTTGGGGCAGGCTGGAGAAACACTGGCAGATGGTGCAGAACCTCTCTGGCCAGCTATCATACAGCTTCACGGCAAAACTCCTCTTCCACTCAAAGAACCTCTGGTAGCGGCTCTCATTCATGGTGAGCAGGAAGTCTGCAAGTTCCTTCACAGAGCCAAAGTCGTCTACGTGGATGAAAGCATCACCAGGAATGAACTGCTGGTAATTGGCTCGGGGAGGCCCCATGACCACAGGCACGGATCCAGCCAGGAGGGAGTTCCTCCAGAGCTTCTCAGTGATGTAGTCCCGGTGGACGGAGTTCTCAAAGGCCAGATAGAACTTGTATTTGGAGATGGTGGGCAGTAGGCAGGCTGGGCAGAGAGGCTTCTTGTTTGCCCTCCCATACACATCAACCTTGATGTACTTGGACAGGTTCCTGTACAGTTGCGCTCTCTGCTGGGTATGGTGGTAGTGGCTGATGACCCATGACACAAGGCCAGATTTCTCTGGGATGTCCACCTCATCTGATGGTTGGGCGACAAGCTCCCCATAAGGGATGAAGATGTCAGAGTCCTGCCTGAACGTCATGGTCCAGTTGAAGACACCATCCCACCTGGCTAGGTCTTTGCTGTGTGTGGGGGACTCCAGGGAGAGCCACACCCACTTTTGCCCTGGGTGGGGCTTAGATGCAGGGGGGCGCGATCTGCGGTGCTGGAGTGCCCAGTGGTGGAAAACTACCACATCTGCTTGGTTGTACAGGTTGCGGTTCCAGGTCAGCTGGCAGCCCTTGATGGAGCAAAGTGTGGCACAGGGATCACCAGTGAGATTTAAGGCATGGCCATAAGGCCAGTCCCAGATCAGGACCATCAGGGAATGGTTCTGTGCTTGAGTTCTGCTGGGGTTATGGAATGGCTGGGCAAGGAACGTCAAGTTCAAGAACACAGCGCCAAGCAGGAACATTGCGCCAGCAAATCTCTTCATGGTGATCATGGAGTAGGAGGCCATTGTGCAGGCAGGGGACACCATCCTCTTGCTCATTAAGCAGGTGCTTAATTCTCCTGAATTCAAAAGTCATCATTTCTTGTCCTTCAGTTAGGGTGGGCGTTAGAATGCTGCAACAGAGAAGAGAAGAGGAGAGTCAACTCCAGGGAAACAAGTCCAAGAAAGAAGCTTCCGTTTTTGTAAAGTTCTGTGTAGAAAGTTATGAGAAGCTGCCTTAGACCACAGTAGTCTATGGTTGCTCATCTAGTCCAGTATTGTTCGCACACTGGCTGGCAAAACCTCTGCAAGCTTCGCAGGGGAGGGTCTTTCCTAACGTCTGGTATCTGGTCTAAGTTTTGAAAATGAAGATGGTGGAGATTGAAGAATCCCCCAAATCATGCAGAAACAAGTTTTTGGTTCTTCTTTCCAGCTTCCCTTGTGAAAGGGCAATGAACTGTTGAAATTCTTTGTTTGTTACAATGAAAAATGGGGTCTTGTGCATCCCTCATGCTTGCTGAGTGACAAACGAGGAAGTCCTCAGAGGTTTTGCACTCGCTGTGAACTCACTCCTGTGGTGGCCAGAGGGGACATAGAGATGGACTCTTGGACTCAGTTTCCCTAATGGCAATATAGCACTGATTTACCCTGTAAGATTGTTGTAAGGATTATAGCAAAGTGTTTTGCTTTACAAGTATGCTATACATATATGGAGATCCAATCAAAGCCAGTCCCTACCATGGATGAACCAATGCATTAACAATCACTGGATCTCCTGATCAAGGTTTTAATTTGTTTAGCAGCAACTCAGTGGAAGAAGGAGTAGATCTGAAGCAGTGAAAACCATAGGCTCGAGACTAACTGGGACAAACCACCCAGTTTATTAGTGTAGAAAGTGCAGTAGTTATCATAGAAGTGTTTAGAGTATCCAATATCAAATATCTGAAGGGACATCACGTGCAAGATGGAGCAAGCTTGATTTCTGCTGCTCCAGAGGGTAGGTCTGAACCAGTGGGTTCAAATGGCAAGAAAGGAGATTCCGACTAGGAAGAAATAGGAGATTCCGACTAGGAAGAACTTTTAGACAACATTTGCTGCTCAACAGGGGAATGAACTCCTTTCAAAGGTGGTGGGGTCTGTTTCACTGGATGTTCTTAAGCAGAGGTTGGATGGTCCTCTATCAGGGATTCTTTAGTTGGGATTCCTGCATTGCAGGGGGTTGGACTAGATGGCCCTGGGGGTCCCTTCCAACTCTACAGTTCTATGATTCTATGAATTGATAGGAAATAAAAGAGGCTCCATGGGATGAAATATTTGAAAATAAAGCAATTTGCATATAAATTGGTTTAATCAGCGTAAATTAATTCAAGTTTTAGTAATGGTTGTTGTTGTTGGCATCTGTTTGTGAGAAAGGCTTTTGTGTGAAAGTGGTGTGAACTACTTAATAGCATTGATGAGACAATCAGTCTGGGTAAATGACATATCTTCTCCTGACTGCATTCAGCCCATCTTCCTCTGACATATTAGATCAAAGAAAGAGTCGCGGACCTAGCAGTCCAAGTCCATATAGTTAAAGCTATGGTTTTCCCAGTAGTGATGTATGGAAGTAAGAGCTGGACCATAAAGAAGGCTGATCGCCGATGGAGGGCACAAGGAGAAGGGGACGACAGAGGACGAGATGGTTGGACAGTGTTCTCGAAGCTACCAGCATGAGTTTGACCAAACTGCGGGAGGCAGTGGAAGACAGGAGGGCCTGGCGTGTTCTGGTCCATGGGGTCACGAAGAGGCGGACACGACTAAACGACTAAACAACAACAACAAAGCATTGGAAGGCAAGCAGGAAGCCAGAAAGAAGGAAGGAACATGTTCCACCCACGCAAAAAGAACTAAGAAAACATCATTCCTGAATACACCTTTCATAAGGATCAGAACTGGCTAGGGAAATGGACTTCTCCATGTGAGCATCGTACACAGGCTCTACTCCAACTGGGAAGGGGAGCAAAGCAACTGGTCTCAGCAATTTTGAACAGTGGCTGCTGTTTCAGCACTTTGCTACACTCAGGTGGGGGCTCACCAGAACACATGACACTTTCACTTTTCCTTTGGGCTTCATGACCTGTTTGCTGCAACTCTCTACCACGATGCCTGGGTCTCAGAAGGTAACTGCTGGCACAGCAATATGACAGTGTTTCCTCCTTACTCCTCCCACCATGTGCATTAAGATTACAGTCATAGCTTGGGTTACAGCCACTTCAGGTTGCATTTTCTCGGGTTACGGACGCGCCGAAACCTGGAGGTACCAGAATGGGTTACTTCCAGGTTTCGGTGGTTGTGCATGCACAGAAGCGCTAAATCGCGCTTTGCGCATGTGCAGAGGACCAAATCACAGCCCGCGCATGCGCAGATGCGGGTTGCGAACGCTGCGGCTTTTGAACGTGCATCCCGCATGGATCACATTCGCAACCCAAGTGTCCACTGTACTATAATTCAGGGGTGCCCAAACTTTTTTCAAAGAGGGCCAGATTTGATGTAGTGAACAAAGGCCGACACAGGGTTTTGAGCTTTTTCTAGGATTGAAGTTTTTTTTTTTTATGATTTGACCCCAATAAATAAACTGCCACAGAGGCTGGATAAAACCGGACGGGGGCCCCCCAAAAGAGACTTTGGACATGCCTGCTGTGATTGCTGACTATGCAAGCTAACAGGGTCCCCAATCAACAATGCAAAGTATATATTCTTTAAAAACTTGTGAATTTGGTTGTTTGGCTTGTTTATTTGCTCCTCCCTAATTTAGGGACTCTTTGGACTGAAAAGTGGTATATAGACTGTAGTGGTATCACTCAAGAGGTATCAGTACTTTAAAATGTGATACAAAGCTATAAGAGCGTTTGGAAATGAGTTCCAGAGGATGGGAGCCACTGCAGAAAAGGCTCCATCTCTACTGAATTCCATTTTAATTGAATTCTAAATGGTGGCCTCCAAAAACAACTGTAAAACTATTGACTTCATAGGAATGTCAGAAGCCACCTTATACCATCAGACCATTGATCACCTGAGCTCAGTATTGGCGACACTGACTGGCAGCTGCTCTCTGGGATTTCAGGTAGGGGGCATCGCCAAGCCAACCTAGAGATGCTGGGATGCTGAGGATTGAAAATAGGACCTTCTGCATGCAAAGTGAGCTAATGAGCTATTTGCTTTCCGGTTAGGACTATAGAGAGCTGCTTATATCAAGTCAGACCATTGGCCCCATCCTTCTCAGTACTGTTTACTCTGACGGGCAGTAGCTCAATATTGTCCACCAGGCTCTCCTGGATATCCGGCCCCACCTGGAGAGGCTAGCGGGGCTCAAACCGGCGACCTTCCCTGATCTACAGCCCTTCCCATCCATACAGGTCCCCAAAGTAGCTCACAAGCGCAATAAAACAAGGTAAAACAATAGGATTGGGTTAAAAACCAATAAGGAAAAGCAACAAGCAATCAGCACCATTGTAAACCAAGACTCTGAGGATCAGAGATTTTAAACAGAAGCCTGCTAACACATTTCAAGTGAACGCTGCCTTTCTGAAGGCCAGGCGGGAAGGAAGTGGTGGTTCTAATGAAACACGTTGGCTATATTAAGTGCCGAGGCCCCAAAACAGCTGGAGGGCACCAGTTTGGTGAAGGCTGATTCTGGCATAAAGCAAGCAGAAGGCTTTGTGTAGAATGGGAAGGTTTAGGCGCATCTTCTGAATCAAGCCGTGGTCCTACTTAGTTCCTACTTCCTGGCAAATAATAATAACAATTGTGTCCTGCCTAATGGGCACTCTTTAAAAAAACAAACCCAAAATCTTAATCGTACGGAAAAAACACTTTAATGCATGAGATCTAAAGAGGAAAGCAGAGCTTGCTCAACCTGAGCATTGCACACTGACACAGCTCAATGAGAACATACCGGCGGCAGCCAAAAATATACCGTCACCTGCTATAATCTATATATAATAGAAGGAACCACACCCTTACAACAAAAGTTATTCTAACCCTCCTTGGTACTGTTAATAACATTCCCAGCTGTCGACGTTTCTGGTTTTGATTGCAATTGCCCCTGGAGTAAGTCCCTCTAAGCTCAGTTGGACTTATTTCTGAGTGGACAAGAATCAGTTTTCACAGTCAGAAGTTTCACACCTGAGGTCCTGCACTAGGGTTTCTTCTGACAGTTGCATCTCAAGCTGATTGTGGTTTTTATTGTTAGGTTTCCACTCTCTTTTTGTTTGTATGACACCTAGAGAATTTGGCGTAGGAGGTGTCTCGTAGATATGATAATAGAATGGTGTCGTGCTTAAGAGTGCTGAACCTGGGAGACAAGGGTTCAAATCCCCACTCAGCCATGAGGCTCACAGGGAGGGGGGATATTAACACAATTTTCAAAAATGCAATTATCAATGTCTTTTTAAAGGGCATCTCCAGATGATCTGTATACAGTGGTACCTCGGGTTCAGAACTTAATTCGTTCTGGAGGTCTGTTCTTAACCTGAAACTGTTCTTAACCTGAAGCACCACTTTAGCTAATGGGGCCTCCTGCTGCCGCCGCACGATTTCTGTTCTCATCCTGAAGCAAAGTTCTTAACCCGAGGTACTATTTCTGGGTTAGCAGAGTCTGTAACCTGAAGCATCTGTAACCTGAAGCGTCTGTAACCTGAGGTACCACTGAACTGAGCATTCATCCTGATTCTTTTTCAGGGAGTGATCAGATGAATTTAGCTATTTATTGAGCATCCGTTCTGATTTTTTTTAATGCAGAGGTAAAATGATTTTGCAACAAAGCAACTGTTATCCCACATTTTCCAGTGTATTTTCCCATCACTTTCCTTATCTTTTTTTTTTTGTCAAATATTTTTTAGTAAGTTTTACATTGCCACTTTACATTCAAGCCTTAAACATCAACATCATCATCATTTAGGATTCCTTAAATCCTTTGACTCGCCTCTGCCCTTCCATGGTGACCACTATCAGCCGTTTTTCACCTGCTTCTCTTATTTTCTCTATTTTTCTTAAATAGTCAATTTTTACCATAATTTTTAGTACATTATAAGCATTACTCAAATCCTCTCAAAGTTTTTAGTTGTTTACGGTGTTCACTTAAATACATTGTAAATGATTCCCATTCCTTCTTAAAGTTCTTCTCTTCCTGTTTTCTGATTTTCCCAGTCAATTTCACCATCATCATTTTCCTTATCATGAAAGTTTGGGTGTGTGCTGTTTTTGGGTAGGGGAATAGGGTTTTTTGCACAAGAATCCCAAATCAACTATAATAGCACAACCTGAATTTGCTGGTATGTTAATGAATCTCATTCACAAATAGCAACAATGCGGAAGTAACCCATATGTGTAAGATTTGGCAATGTTTTAATCCTTACCTTAAAAAAAATTACTCTCCAAAATTGGATGTGAAAATGAAAGTTTCTCCATCTGAAGCCTTAGCTGCAAATTTGGCAAAGGATGCTGGTTTTCAAAAGTGTGCAAAATGTGCCCATTCTAGAGGTAGACTAATGAGGACATGGAGGGGAGGGGAGCTTGTATATGTGGCGTTCAGGAAGCAGTGAATGGCTGAGAATGTCAAGCTCATGAGTCAAGATTAGCTGAAGTTAGATGGAGAGATTTATTTTCTCCTTCCTTCAGCTTTTCAGCTTATCATTTAAAAACAACACTGTCCTAAGAAAAAAGCAAACAAGCAGCTTGATAAAATTCTTACCCCTCTCCCAGGGAGCTCCCCGCCATAGCAAGATAAAATGCAAAAAGTCAGAGACAGTAAAGCAGCAGAAAGCAGTGAATCAAGTGCCATGTAAAATCCTACTTTAAATTTATATTTAAGAAAGTAGCACACAACTGCTAGCCCTTGGTTAGCCAAGTGCAAAAAACCAAACAACCCCAGTGATCTCTTAGAACTGTGTTATTCTTTTTTTAAAAAAGTAATTGCAATTCATTTTGATTTGATTTGATTTTTTAAATAAATCAATCAATCTGTCTGGTTGGGGTTCAAGGCACCTAAACAAAAATATCAAGAGAAGCATTCCCATCAAACAACATAACTCACCCCCAACAGCTTAATTACCATGTTGCCCTCCTTGTCATAAGATGCTCGAAACCTCATGGATCCTTTCTTTTTAAAGAGGCCTTTTTTCTTTGGAAGCAGCAGCAGAGGGAAGCAGCAGCTGAGTAGGGGATCGCAATCTCTTTCCTTTCCTTCTTCTTTTTTTCTTGGTAAGATTTCATCACTGGCGTCTTTCACACCCTGCTTCTACAGTGGTTTCCTGAAACTTCACATTGCGTTTTCATGTGGTTGGACACCCTCCCACACCAGTGCCTGGTCTTGCATGGCAGCACATGGCGGTGGGGGGGCGGAGAGAGAACTTAGGCAACACTCAAAGATGGAGTGGGTCTGATTAAGAAAACTTAGGGTGAGGGCAGCAGTGCTAGATCAAACCACAAGATTTTGTGGAGTGAGAGAACGCCTAGTGTATTTTCCCTACTCATAATGCCAGAGTTCTGTGACATACAACAGAACAGATTCAACCCAAACTTCTTCAAAAGATTAGTCTATGAAAGGAGACTCCCACCATCCCTGTTGGTTAGGCTGGCTGGGGGGGGGGGGGCAGGTGTTGGCAGACCCAAAACATATGGGAAGCTGTAGTGCCCTGTTCCTGGTCTATTCTGACTGACAGCATCTCTCTGGGTTTTAAAACTGGATGGGGCCGTTCAGAGAAGCTCTGAAGGGAACCCAGGAACCCAGATCAGTTACCCCAGATGTAGAGGTTGCTGAGATGAGGCACTTCATGGATTCGCAGAATTGTAGAGTTCAAAGGGGTCCCAAAGGTCATCTGGCCCAACCCCCTGCAATGGAACAGGCTGCCTTGGAAGGTGGTGGGCTCTCCTTCTTTGAAGGTTTTTAAGCAGAGATTAGATGGCCACCTGTCATGTATGAGCTAGCTGAGATTCCTGTGCTGCAGGGGCTTCGACTAGAATGGGGTCAGCAAACTTTTTCAGCAGGGGGCCGGTCCACTGTCCCTCAAACCTTGAGACCTTGTGGGGGGCCGGACTATACAGTGGTACCTCGGGTTACAGACGCTTCAGGTTACAAACTCCGCTAACCCAGAAGTAGTACCTCAGGTTAAGAACTTTACCTCAGGATGAGAACAGAAATCACGTGGTGGCGGCAGCAGGAGGCCCCATTAGCTAAAGTGGTGCTTCAGATTAAGAACAGTTTCAGGTTAAGAACGGACCTCCAGAACGAATTAAGTTCTTAACCCAAGGTACCACTGTATTTTGAAAAAAATAATGAACGAATTTCTATGCCCCACAAATAACCCAGAGGTGCATTTTAAATAAAAGCACACATTCTACTCATGTAAAAACATGCTGATTTGCGGACCGTCCGCGGGCCGGATTGAGAAGGCGATTGGGCCGGATCCGGCCCCCAGGCCTTAGTTTGCCTACCCATGGGTTACATGACACACTGGGTCCCTCCCAGCTCTATGATTCTATGCATTCCATAGCAGTATCCCATATGTCGAACACATGTGAACTGGGGCCCCCAACATAGTGTTGTAAACAAAATCTGCCCTTCTTCCCTTATGGGGTATCCAAGAGCCCATATAGAGTCCTTAAGTGGGTTTCCTATTGGTAGGAGAAAATAACAAAGGCCAACCAGAGAATAGTGAGAAGCAAAGCAGCTAGTAAGCTTGATCTTTATTAAAGCTGTTGCAACAGGGTGCTCCCCTCACATGCAGGAAAGGAGGAGGACCCCGAACCAAGGTGTGCCTGCCCTTATATTTACATTTTAAATTGCCTTCCCTGGAGCTCAAGACCACCCCTCCATACATCATACATACATCACAGAAGGGGTGTAACCCAAGACCACACCCCACAAACATCATACCTACATCACAGAAAAGGCGGTCTACAACAGAAATTTGAATGTTGTTGTTTTTCCTGTCTGCCAGGTTGTCTGATAATGCCTTATCTGATTGCCTTTCCTGGTAGTCTGGCTATTCCTTTGAGATGGTGATTACCCAATTCCTGAGACAATGGGAAGGTTCCCTCGCCCCCTCCCTCCTTGCAGAGAAAACATTTGGTCAGTTTGGGAGTCAAAATGGTTTCAGGACGGTCTTCCTGTGCTGCTCCAGACATGTGGTCCACACATCTATGCACATGCTTGGTTGGTACATTTATGAACATTTATTATATATATAAGACCTTTAATTTTTTATTACAATAATGTCTGCAGAATGCACTCAGACACACACATTGTGGGGGCTGGTAAGGCATGCTAGCCACCCCATTATTATTATTATTGTTAAAAGTTTGGGGCGTGGGGACAAGACTCCCCCTAAAATCTTTGGATTCATTAAAACTCCATAATTCCTGGCTATAGTAAATGTTGGAGTTTAATCAATGGATTTAGCAGTGTAAAAATAAAGACTGGACTTGGTTTCCTGACCAGGGAATCACCTTAGCACAGGCAGAGTCATTAACCAGTCAGGAAAGCCATCAACAAAGCAGACACAGAGCAGGGAGACCCCACCCTGAGCTCTGGGTAATTACCAAAAGGCAATCCCAGAGTTGGGGAGGGGGGGGGAGTTTCTAGAATTGCAGTAGGCAGTGAGTTAAGCGAACAGGGTCAGGGAGGAAATGTCCCTTTTGCAAGCCAGAACAGGAGGCAGGCAGCCTGCTTTAGGCTGCACAAACATGATGTTCGGGGTCTCTTGTAATCTGAGGCTGCCGCAATGAGAGGGTCAGGATCCTCTTGGGATATGAACGCTCTGCACTCTCTCCACAAAGATGCAGGTTGTATATATGCATAAATAAAACCATATACCATAAAGACAGCACAGATTCTGTTGTGCCTCGTTGTCCAAAGAAAATAGAGACCCTCACTGTGATTGTGGTTGTTTAGTGATTTAGTCGTGTCCGACTCTTCGTGATCCCATGGACCATGCCCAATACCCCTGGAATTTGTTTTTTGTGGGGGAAGAGTAGCTTTGGTGAGGGTTGAAGTTCTAGGTGTTCTGCTTGCTTTTGGGAGGGGAGTCTGAGCATCCCCAATCTTTCTTCTGTGAAATGGGTATTTTGTAGTGTCCACAAGAGTTTTTTTAGACTTCCAGCTCCACCCCCGTTCTTCAAAAGGTTCATGACCACTGCACTAATGCCAGTATTATGATGAGGGTGTTTGGAAGAGGTGCATGCAAAAGGATAGCAGGCTTTAAAAAATCAGGGTTTTATTTTGTTTCTTTTAAAAAGAGGCTTAAAACTCCCCACCAGATTTGTATCCCATCCAGCTCTAAGTTGCCACAGTGAAAAGAAAAAGAGAAAACTTAGGGAACACTAAAAGGTGTCAGAGAGCCAGGTAAAGGTACCCCTGACCGTTAGGTCCAGTCACGGACGACTCTGGGGTGCACGCTCATCTCGCTCTATAGGCCGAGGGAGCCAGCGTTTGTCCACAGACAGCTTCCAGGTCATGTGGCCAGCATGACTAAGCCGCTTCTGGCGAACCAGAGCAGCACACGGAAACGCCGTTTACCTTCCTGCCGGAGCGCTACCTATTTATCTACTTGCACTTGATGTGCTTTTGAACTGCTAGGTTGGCAGGAGCAGGGACTGAACAATGGGAGTTCCCCCTGTGGCAGGGATTTGATCTTCTGATGGGCAATCCCTAGGCTCTGTGGTTTAGACCACAGTGCCACCCGCGTCCCTATCAGAGAGCCATAAAAAGGTAAAGGGACCCCTGACCATTAGGTCCAGTCATGACCAACTCTGGGGTTGCGGCGCTCATCTCGCTCTATAGGCTGTGGCCAGCATGACTAAGCCACTTCTGGCGAACCAGAGCAGCGCACAGAAACAGTTTATCTTCCCGCTGGAGCGATACCTATTTATCTACTTGCACTTTGACGTGCTTTCAAACTGCTAGGTTGGCAGGAACAGGGACCGAGCAACAGGAGTTCACCCTGTCGTGGGGATTTGAACCGCCAACCTTCTGATCAGCAAGTCCTAGGCTCTGTGTTACCAGGGTTCAAATCCCCACCTGGCCACAAAGATCACTGGATGACCTTGGGCAGTCACTGCCTCTCAACCTAGCCTACCTCACAGGGTTGCTGTGGGGATTAAATTGTGGGGGGATCATGTACACCAACTTGCACCTGTTGGAGAAAAAGGTGGGATATAACTGTGCCATGAATAAAGTAAGTTTCATGAATTTCAGACGTGAGAGAGAACTTGAATCACCGTCCTCAGATTAATCGCGGGTTCCACATTTTGGAGCACTATTTCCTCCCTGCAACTGCCCTTAAAATGTTGACCCTTGATGACGGTCCTGGTCAGATCGTCCAGACGAAGCAGACGGGTTTTTAATAGTTAGTAGAGTGTCGTGATTCTTTTGCCAGTCACCGGCATTTCCTACCATTCCCCCCAGGAGGCGCTCTTGTTCCTGAATTTGGCATTCAGCTCTAACAAAAGTAAGCCGAAAGTGGCAAATTCATTGGCAAGAGCGCCACCTGCGAGAAAGAAGGGGGGGAAATTCCCTGTTTTTCACAAAGAGTGCTAAAAACTGGGTCTGCATTTGTTCGTTTGCTTTGTTTACCCCTGATATCCCTTGCGCTGTTGTTTCCACGGCGCTTGGATTTCGAACTGTAAGTTCCTGCGGCAGAGAACTATTCCCTTTTGCTCTGTTGAAAGGGTTGTGTGCACTGATGGCACTACAGCAACATTTTTTAAAATGACATTTCCGGGGGGTGCGGGGAGGAGGAAAGCTTATTTTGCAGTGGCAACCCTTGAAAACTTGCTGGGATGTGCCCCTTCTTATCCTCTGGTACCATTGTTTAATCTCATGAGGGTGAATTTTTGCCGGATGCAATTTCTTCTTTATCAGATTCCCCAATGAGAACAAAAATGCTGTGCTCACGCTGACCCTTCTGCAGCCCTCCCTCCAGAGCACGAAAAGCAAAATGCCACCGCAAAGCCACCACAGCTGGCCTTGCCTGCTGCAACATCCCGGCCATATCCATCATTCTCTGCCCAGGTGGGCCACTCCCCAGGGTGCCCACCCTCCGGTTCCCTGGAGGGCAAGTCTCTTCTGCACATGATCTTTTACACCTGACCCAGCACTTCAGCTGGGTGCCTGAGCCCCCAGAGGGAATAGCAGCTGGGAGGACATGTTTTGTGACTGCCCTAAATTGGCTGCCGAAGATCTGGA